GAACCACTGGTCTAGACATTTAGCCTGGCCCCAGGAGTTGTGTCTTACAAATACTGTTTACAAGACATGCAGAAAATGTTAATGTCTCGCAAAGCATGCAGTTTCCTAGATGGCCACAAAAAAAGTGTTCATTGCTGAATGCAAAATTTGCTCCAGGACAATCTTGATTCTTTTTCAACCCTGTATCTTTTTGCTTTCTGCAAAAGCCAAGATTGCAGTTTTAGATTGTCCTTGTTGTTGTTTTAAGTAGCATGAAATTCATTCTTTCTGGAATGAGTGGTGACAACACTGCGCTCAGAGGCTGTTTTCCATATCTGTAAATACTGATTGTGAGAAAGAAGGCAACCGTTTGCATCTTAACTTACTTTTGTACATTCATAATCTTGTCCTCAAAAGTATTATGAAATAAAAACAAAGTTATGTGTACGTATGTTATCTCAGAGGATATTTCACAGGTTATCTGTTGCTCTTCTGGTATATTGGATATAATTGCCTACCATCTAGCCACCATTCATGCTCAAAAATAATTCCAGTTTCAAAAATTGATCATGGCATGGGCTGCAAATTCTCAGGTTGGAAGAGAGAAAAAGGAGACTCTTTCTCTCCAGCTACCACATTCCCTAAACATTCTTCCCCATTTCTGCCCTCTTTTGATTCATAAATCCTTTTACTTTGTGTTATTTTGTGATTTGCAAAAGAATCTTGACAAAGAGGGAGCAGAACAGAAATAAACAGCTGCTGTTTTTACAGAGGGCGAGTGAGATTCGCGATCCCACTCCAATCACTGCTCGTTGGATGAATTAATGCTAGCGTCACTTAAATTTCTATTCGGCCTGCTAATATTTCAAAAGAGATCTACGTGGTTTTCTAAAACCAATGATGAAAAATAGTAGCCAATTCAATGTATTTATTGTGGGGGAGATGGGCGGGGGGAGAAATCCAATAAATAAAATAAATAAATTTATTTGTTAGATTTAGGCCCAGCCTTTTATTCAGGAGCTCACATTGATGTAAATCATACCCCCTCCTGTTTTTCCTAACAAACTGACTGGCCTAAATTTACCCCATACACTTCTATGGCTGAAAAGAATCTGGATTTCCCCATTGCTTATTTAACACCTTAACCCAGCAATGCTGGCCGGGGAATTCTGGGAGTTGAAGTCCACACATCTTCAAGTTGCCAGGCTTGAGAAACATTGCCTTACCACTACACCACACTGGCTGTCCTTCTAAATTAATTAAATGCCAACCATCTATAATTTTTTTATTTTGTACAGTTCTGACTGGGGGAAAAAACAGGTCTTTTTATCCCTTAGAATTCTATTTGTGAGAAATGTTAGGGCATCTGCTTGGTGACTGCCAATCTCTCAAAAAGGGATTTGCTCTGAATATACTGTCCAGTCTTGGCATTTATGATATTGTCAGAACTGGAATGTACAAAGTTTGGGCTTATGTACAGGTGTAAAGCATGGAATAATAAAAATATGAATTAGGCCAAAAGTTCAATGAGATGGCATTCAGAATGAGGGGGAGAGGGTAGGAAGAGTTAGGGTTAGTCTGCCTAAGACAGTGATGGCGAACCTATGACAGGTGTGTCAAAGGTGACACACCAGGACATTTTGGGTGACACACTAGCGTTCACCCACACCCTACATCAACTATTCTCCCTGTTTGAGTTACCATAGAAAAGCTTGTTTTACTCATATCTCATTTCTGTAATGATTTGACGTTTCTTTATATAAAACATAGCACCACGCAGGATAAGACTGTATTTTTTTTAAATAAAAGAATATGTAAAGAATTTTTTCTCTTGTTCAGGAATGGGGAGAGTGACACACCCGCAGAGTCAAGTGAGGCATTTTCTGAATTTTTGACACGCCGAGACCGAAAGGTTCACCATCACTGGCCTAAGATGTTCCATCATCTACGGAGGAAGATTTTGGCCCTGCCTAATAAAAATGTCCTTATATGGAGCAATAGTTAGTTATGTAAGCTTTGCCTGCAGTCTGGAGTAGAACGTTCCAGATCTGAGTTACTCGTTCAGAACTTAGTTAGTTAGTTATCTACAGGACTTATATGGCTGCCTAACTCATACAATGATTCCAGCTGGCTCACAACAATCCATAAAACATAGTTTAAAACAAAGGTACCCTTCCCCCAGGCGGCAGACCAAACATCCTCTTAGCTCAACCCCTACCCTAGTCCAATGCTTGGGGGAAAAGCCAGGTCTTCATAGCTCTCCAGCCCTTGTAGGAATTTGCTAGTATCATCCAGAAAGATACTGGAGGCACCCTTTGTTTAGCCTGATCTAATTTTAAACTTTAAGAAGGCAAATCCTGCATTAACCTGGCAGAAAGAAGATTAGGAAGAGAGCGTCAAAACTCTACTGTGCACTTGGAGAGACGTCCTCAGCCTCTGAAAAGAGTCCTCCACACTATAAGGAGTTCTAGCTAATTGTCTAGCGTCAGTTGCAACTGTCTAGACCTCTGTTGTGGCATGCATGTCTAAAGCCATTGAAATAAATCAGGTAGGTTGAAGTGACCTTCTCAGGTGTTGTAAAGAGAAGAACTGCTTTCACAAGGGAACGCAAGGTTCACCACATCAGAGCTATGGAAGAAACTTACCTCCTTAATGTGGAAGGCGTCAAGAAAAAGATTTTACATGGAGGCTACGGGAGGCTGCCTGATTTCCAAGAGGGGAGCAAGGTAAATGTCTACAAGCACTAACTAATAAGGTTGAGTGTAAGACAGGAGCTGTAAGTAGCCACAATAGCCAAAGGGCTGTGTTTGGAGAACAGATCCCATCAACAGTTTGCAGGGGAGAGTGGAGTTTCGGTCTTGCTTTATGGGCATTTGGAGTGCATTTGATTCCTTGCCAGGGGAAGAGAATTCAATGGCCTTTCTCATAATCAAATTCAGATTATATGTTACATAAATAAAAAAAAGGAAGGAAGGGACCACCTCTAGAAAAATGGATTACCCATGACACAGGTAAGCAAGCTCCCTTTTAAGCTTGGGACTCCACTGGGGTCATAGACCAACGGTCAAAATGTCAAATTCTTCTCTGCTGAGTTCCTGTCCTGGGCATTTATTTTAAAGTGGTTGTATGTTGCCCCTTCAAAACCAACCTTTTCCCACAGCAAGGCTATTATATGCAGAAAGATGAAAAAATACAGAGATACCCACAATGGCGGAGGGGATTGTGAAGATGGCAGAATTTGGAGAAATGGCTAAGTTGACTTGTTTGATTAGGGAAGGAACAACCACTACTTTTATAAAAGACTGGAAAAGCCTTTATGGGCTTTTTGCTGAAAATGGATAAAAATTAACTGGTGATTTCGGGAGTTACTGATTAAAAAGGACTGTATATGGGAAGAAGGGAATTATGTGATGTAATTTTGGAGGGGGAAACAGTATTAATTATGTTTGTAACTGCTGTAAAGAAGATTGGAAGTCACTTTAATTATTTTCTTTTCTTTCTCTTTTTTCTTGATCTATATTGTTTATCACTTTTTCTTTTAGCTTTCTATCTGTCCTATTTTTCTTCTATATCTTTTTCTCTTTTCTTTTATATTTCTTTGTGTTTAGCTTTTAACCTTGTAAAACATTATTTTAAGAAAATTGTGTGTGTATATGTGTGTGTGTGTGTATAAACAAGTTTTCCCAGGATGGATTAAGGCAGCTGCATCCCTCAAGTTGTGTTTATAGGCGGATGCTTTTCACTAACTGCTGGAGAAAAGAGAATAACATACAATCAGGATTCCATCTAGAAAGAGAAAACTGCTAAAAATTGGGGCGGGGGGGGGAAACGGGACAAACGTTTGTATTTGTGTAGGCAGGTCCCTGACCAGGATTAACTGTAATCTGCCTTCAATGCAGATCACCTTCCACTTCCAGACCCTGAAAGACGATTTTGAGCGGACGGTGATTGATGACAGCCGGAACACTGGGGTCCCCATGGAGATTATTGTGGGGAAGATGTTCAAAATCGAAATATGGGAGACATTGCTGACCTCCATGCGGATCAACGAGGTGGCAGAGTTCTGGTGTGATGCTGTAGTGAGTGTTACTGAGACAAAACTATGTTTGAATGGACAATGCTGCCTCTCTTGGAAGATAGGGTGATCAGTAGTGTCTTCTGAATGCTTGTAGCCAGGAACAGCAGTTGGTTTATGTCCCGCTAATGGGTCTCTTGGAGGCATCTGATTGACCCAGATGAGAAACTTTGGTCTGATCCAGCATGAATCTTATTTGGGAATGAAGAAGCTAAGGGCCCAGGTTGGCATGCCTTGAGTCTGTCTCTCCAGAGTCTCTCTGGTCCACCTGAAACAATTCACAGAAAATTACCTTGATTCATTATTTTATTCAATGAATTGAATATAATTTTTAAAATGTAAAGAAAATCAAAATTTCTTTTCTTTTTTCTTCTGGCTCTATCCATTTTTTGGAATGCAGCCTCACACTCCAGAAAAAAGTTGCTCACACCATTCATTTATTTAGTTAATCATGTCAAACAGTGCAAAGAAAGTGTTTGCAGGCAGATTCAGCCCAGCAGAGACTTAAAAAATGCCTTGACGTCATGTCTAAATCCCATTTTTGAAGAGCTACCTGCATCAATATGAAACTGCCCAGTTCTTAAGCTCAGTCTTCCAAACTTTGCTACTTAGTTTACCATTGTGAATGATCAAGTTGACAGAAACTTTTGACAATGATCAAGTTGACAGAGCACGTTTAGGAATCCTTTCTCCAAAGATTTCATCTAGCCCTTTCCATGGCTGTTTTTAAATAGATCCTTATTTTATTGGGCTGCTGTTCAAATGTTTAAGCAATGTTGCTTTAAATATCTTTGCTTTTTATATCTGTAAGCTGGTATGTCCTGAGTTTGCATTCATCAGTGGAACTGAAATATTTTAAGTATATGAGCTCGGTGTAAGGTTTGAAACTGGCAAGGTGGGAACCAGAAATTCTCAGGCCAGAGAGAACTGTTATGTAAACATTGAACAGAATTTTCTAGCTCTTAAGACTGGAAAAAAATGTCCCAAAGGTGTGAGATAACAGTGTGGAACTTAAACCCGGGAGCTGGCAAACATACAACTCAATTTCTATATTCTGCATATATATGACTTCTTTCTTGACTGTTGGTTCTCATATTTTTACTTGTAATTGTTTTGCTTTTTCTGCTGTGAGCCATCAAGAGCCTGAATATGATGGCTGACAGATGTAGATGTGGTACATATATAATATAAATAATAAATAACATCTGACACTGAGGGATTAGATGGTGATCTTTAGAACAAGAATAGATACAGGCAAGTATCCCTGTTGAAGGAAAGGGATGGTGAGCCCTTGGTCTTCCAGATATTGCTGGATTACAAATGCGAGCATTCCTTACCATGGGCTAAACTACTGAGTTGCTGGGAATGGCAGTTCAACTTTACCTGTAGGACCAGAGGCCCTGCTTACAGACAGTATGTGCTTCAGCTTTGCAGGGAAACAACTGCTTCAGAGTATATGTTGGGCGCACACATAGCATCAGTCAACAACTTCCCTTTTCCTGGAATTGCATGGCAGCTGGGGTGGGCAGCCAAACAGTCCCAGGATTACACTGGCTGTAAGGAATTGCAGAGAGGAATTCCAGGAGGGCTTCCATGCACACCAAAGCACCTGCTTCCTTTCAAAGATGAAGCACTGCACAACCTTAGTAGAGAGTTTCCTTTTTCTGCTGCTCTCCGAGGTCACCTGCCTCCTGCTGCTCCTCATTTATTGCATCTTCTGCTGCTCCAGTATCTGTGAGCATTTTTATGGGTCCCCATCTTCCTTTCCACCCTTCTGTGCTTCCAGCACACAGGAATGTATGCCTTGGTCTCCAAAGGCTTGAGGAAAATTGCTGAGGGCAAAGATCCTCTTCAGGGACAGAAGCACCAATGTGGAATAGGCAACATGTTTGACTATCACAGCACAGGCTACGAAGACCTGGATGAGCTGCAGCGGACACCTCAGCCCCTCATCTTCATCATGGAGCTATTCAAAGTGAGTAAGGTACCCCGAGCTCTTTAAACAGAGAGCTGCTACCCTGCTGGTTATTTCTGTTTCTTTTTCACTTTCCTGGAGAGAGGGCAGGGCTGGTTACTCAGTGGTCCTCTCCCCCTCTTTTTAACCTCACCATAATTCTGTAAGACAGGCTGGGCAAAAAAGAGCAACTGAACCAAGTCATCCATGGCAGAGTGGGGATTTGAATGTGGGGTTCCCCAATCCCAGTTGGAACTGGTAGCATCTAAAGCATACAGATTTGGCAGTCAGTACCACCAAGGACCAGTTCTGAGGTGCTAAAACTTTTTCTGGACTGTACGTGCATGTGGAGAGGGAAGTATTTGTGTAAATTCCTCCCCCCAAATCCATTGCATTTAGAAATCTAGCATGCCAGGAGGAAAAAGTTCAATATAGTTGTTTTCTAAACTTTTATTTTTCCCTGTCACTTTGTCCATGGCTTGTCTTCATCTTCAGATTTTCTAGGCTCTCTTCTCTCCTCACAGTAGCTCCTGAGGTTTCTAGATTCAGACCTTCCAAGTGGCTTTGGAAGGCAAAGATTTTTTTAAATGGACTTTTACTATTAGAAAAGTTTTGTGCTTACTTTTATCACGACTATTACTTCGCATGTTTGTAGTCATTACTTTCTTAACCTCTCTCTGAAGGGCAGTAAGGTTTCTTTCCCTCTTGTGATCCACATAGGCAACTACAATTACCTTCTGAGCAGAACTGATTGACAACTTTTTAAAAGGCCTTTTAAGGTCCTACATAATTTGGGAATGAAAAGTATCTGTATATGGAGAACAAGTGTCTTACTGAAGGAGTTGGCCCTGAGAGACCAATAGTCAAGAAGAGAGCTTTTCATGGACCAGACACAGTCTCTTGGTCCAACTTTTCACAAGGTGGTGGTTGTAAGAATAAAATAAAAGCAGACTCCTGAGCTTCTAGAGGAAAGTAGGGATAGATATATATTATCATAAAAGCAATAATAATAGTGTGCTGAGATCTTTGTTGAAAGATCTCTCTCCATATCCTTGTTCAATTGTTAGATAAGTGAGGAATGCTGACAGGATCTTCTCAGTTAATCGTCTCTGGAACATTTTTTAAAAGATTTTTTATCCTGCCTTTATTATTTTTAAAAATAACTCAAGGTGGCAAACTTACTTAATACCCATTCCTCCTATTTTCCCCGCAACAACCACCCTGTGAGGTGAGTTGGGCTGAGAGAGAGGGGGACTGGCCCAAAGTCACCCAGCTGGCTGTCATGCCTAAGGTGGGACTAGAACTCACCATCTCCTGGTTTCCTGCCTGGTGCCTTAACCAATAGACCAAACTGGCCGTCTATTTTCCCTATGTCGGATTCCACAGCACCTACTCTTTCATCCTTACACTGATTTTAGTTAGCTCCCCTGATGATTTATACTTTGAAATATGTTGTTTGGCTATTGTATCAGGTTAACTTGCATTGACAGGTAGTGAAGAGCACGATGGGTTGTCAATTGGGTAAGCAGAATTTATAACCACCCATTGTTTTCCTGACCTCTCAAGGTGGAGGACCCTTCTTCCTACAAAAGGGACACATGGGCCATGAACAATGAGGAGAAGTTGGCTGCTGTGCCAAAATTGCACACTGAGGGCAATCGGCTGGTCTTGTCCAGGAAATTCAAAGAAGCATCAGAGAAATATCAGGAAGCTATCATCTGTTTGCGCAATCTTCAGGTTACGGTGAGAGCTGGATGAAGTTAAGATGTACTTCTGTACTGACTGCTTTGATGTTAAGACCTTTAATAGAGAGCCCTTGGTAGGTGTTCTTGCCACTTGCATCCTCAAGGGATAGTTTTTTAGTAGTAGTAGTAGAACCTGAGTTATGAAATACTTTCTCCATGAGCTTCTGTATGCCCATCCTGGAGAAATGGTTGCAGTTTCCCTAGATGGTTTAATGTGATTCTCATATTCCTGCAGCCCTTTTAAGTTCTAGTGCTTCATTTTGATTGACCTTGTTATGTAAACTCCCTGGGGAATATTAACCACATGACTATGTGATTTGTTCACACAAACTGAAGTCAAACTATATTTTGGCTTCTGGTGGTGCGCGCTCTGTACTTCATATTCTTTTTCACTCATGCTTGGATTTTTCTCCAGTTCCTCTATGGGACCATGCCTGCTATAGAACTCAAGCTTGACCTATCTTCCCTGAATCATAGGTAGCATGTACAGTCTTCAGTGCTGCTTGCTGGAAAGTAATAGTGGATGAGAATATCCATCTCCAGCCTAGGCTTATGGGCTTCTCAAATGCATCTTTTTGGCTACTGCGGGACACAGAATGCTGGACTAGACGGGCCTATGGTTTGATCCAGGTTCTTCTGATGTTCGTATGGATGGGCAGTTACCATTTCCTTCTTTGCTGGAACTCTTGACAGGAGAAGCCGTGGGAGGAAGGTTGGCTGAAGCTAGAGAATCTCATCACACCACTTGTGTTGAACTATTGCCAGTGCCAGCTAGAGCTAGGGGAATACTATGAAGTGTTGGAACATACCACAGCCATCCTCCAGAAGAACAATGGTATGGCCATCACTTTAATCTGTTTTGACTGGTTTTGGCTTAATGAACTTAGCCACTGTGGTTGTAAACCATCATTTATGGTTTACTTTGCAAACCCAGTTGACTGCGGCTTGTTAAATAAACAATAGTTTAGCACAATCATGTGGATTGGGGAGGACAGAAAACATGTAATTTCATGTTATTGATAGAATACCTGGGCCTACCTACTTAGAACTATATTTGTGTCAGACCCTCAAGGCAGACCAGACTAGGAAACCAGTTATGAATGCTAATAGTACAGTACTTTTATTAGGATTACTGTAATAAAATGTTGCAAGTCTGAATACGCTTTCTCCTTCCCTTATCTATGTGAGATCTAGGGAGGGTCATATCTGAGATGTTTCTCACATTACATTTCTACCTTGGACTCAGATTTCTTTTATCTGAACGTTGTCTTGGTTACTGCTCTTCCTCCTGTTCCTCAAGGTTATTCACTCTTCCCATTAGAGTTTGTGATGGAGGCCATATTTCCATAAAATAGTCTATGTTGTTTCACACAAACAACATAGACTATTTTCTGTATGATGTGGTCTTCCCATCTCAAAGTTTCAACGGTCTGTGAACATCAAAGGCTACATTTGAGAAGTGGTTGTGAATTATCACATTTTACAAGATTTGTTTAGGAAAACTTAAACTGCTTTGTCCTTTCCTAGAAAACGTCAAAGCATACTTCAAGCGGGCAAAAGCTCATGCCGCTGTTTGGAATGAGAAGGAGGCCCGAGCTGACTTCTTGAGGGTGGCCCAGCTGGATTCCTCGCTGACGGCCGCAGTAAGAAAAGAGTTAAAGGTCCTGGGGGAGAGGATGAGGTGGAAACATATGGAGGATCGCAAGAGATACCGAGATCTGTTCCAGCAGCCTCTCTCAAAAGGGGAAAGTGAGGTATCTGAAGAATCTTCTGTGGAAAAACAAGAGCAGGCTGGTAATGGCCTCACAGCAGAACAGGAACAAAATAATCCAGAAGCCTTGAAGCACAAGAGAGGACTTGGGGCAAGAAAGAGAGAAACAGATCAAGGAAATGTAGTCGAGGAAGTGAAAGGGCTCTTGGTAAAAGTTGGGGAAAGAGAGAGAGAAGACTTTGTCCCTCAGAAAAAGATAGAAGAAACAGTGACTGCAAAACAAATAGGAATACAAGGTGAGCAGAGGGAAAGACAATTATTTCCTGATTCTGGGAACTGCATGGTAGAAAGTTCTGAGAATGAACAAGAGTTAGGACTAGGGCTAGAGGAGCCGAAACTAGAGGTTGAAGCTGCAGAGATGAATTCTGAGGCCTGGGATCAAAATGGAGAGAGAGATTTTGCAACGCTGACAGGAAAGCAAGACCTCAGAGCCACCCATAGCCTTGATCAAATGACAGTAAAGCCCATGAATGACACAGAAGAAGGTTCCACAGAAGGACACTGTGAGACTGAAGCAAGCATTGGGCTGGAGATTTTCACCAGAAAGGGACAATATGAAGGAAGGTGTGAGAACAGAGAAACTGAAGCTCATTATCTTCATAGGAAACAGGCCAATGTGAGTTTTGGATCAGAACATGGCAAGGAAGGTATGAGAGCCAAGAGTTTTGAAGAAGAGGATTGCTCCCAAGTCCAACAAGAAAAGTCCAAAAGAGGAATGGAGGTATCAAATGAGTTGGATTTGCTGGAAGAAACAGCTTTGAGGAAGGAAAAAGGAGACATTGGTGACAATTCCAAGCCAGAAAAGAAGTTATGTGGGTATGAAGCAAGTCCAAGTTGTTATGAGGCAAACCCTGAAGGCAGAGTGCCAGTCATTGAAGATTGTGGGAAAGGAATAATCAGTCATAGTGTAGAAGTAGAGACTACCCTTAGAGAAGTGAGAGATAACCACAAAGAAAAAGTTGGAAGTGATAAGGAAGGAATCAACACTGAGGATACTTCTACCACACAGGAAAAAATTGAATGGGATGAGTTAGGACTGAAATATTTTGAGGCAGAGTTAATTCCCAGCACTGAAACTGAGAATTCAAAGATAGGACCACAAGGAACAACTTCGGACACAAAGCAGGTGGATTTACAAGTCACATGGGAAGATCCTGAAAAAAGAGGAGCAACTGAGCAAATTTGGGGAGAAGAACCTTTTGGGGGGTTTAAGATGTCAGAAATGGAACACGGAGACATGCATGATACAGCATTGTCCATGAGCTGTGCAGAAGAGAAAAGACACATGTTTTGCTCAGGAGAGATAGCTGGGTTGGAAATAGCAGGACGGTGGGATATTTCTCTCCCAGGTCAGACTGCCTTGAAGCAAGAGGAAACTGGTTTCCAAGAAGGAAAATGGTCTGAAAGTGATGGTATAAGAGAGCCAGTTACTCAGGCTTTTGGACCGGGCCAAAGTGAGGATCTCATCACCTTTGCTGAAGAAGCCAGCTCGACTTCTTGAGAAATGGCATCCCAACAGTAAGACCTCCTCGACCCAACAACTCGCTTAGCAGCTCTTTCTTCCCCATTTCACTGCATCTAAACTCAAGAGAATGTATCATGACCCTTTGCTGGCCTTTCTTGGTCTGGCAGTGTTCTTGTGAAATTAAATATAGAGTGACCTTTCATGTCCTAAATCTGGTGGTGTTTTCCATTAGTAAAAGATGAAATACTGATTGCTAAAAGTCAATAAGCTTTAAAATAAAGGTGTGCAACGTATGTTGGGCTCAGGCCCCGTTTGACCTTTGAGTTATATTCCAAGAGCATCCAAAATAGTAAGTGCAGGCTTGGGTAAAACATAGGTTGGTTTAATTACATTTTTATCAAGTTAAATACATCATTTGGGGAGCTTTCCAATTTACTGCACGTTCTGCCCACCAATAATAACTTGTAGAGGTCTCTTGGGCTGACTTCTAAAACCCTTGCGGCCTTGGTCCCGGTGCTTCGCTCTTGTTTTAAAATGCAATAACTGAACGTATGAATTCTACAACTGGCCTGAGAAAAAATAAAGTGCTCAGGCAACAGTCAGTAGGGAATAATTCATTGACTCTGACCCCCTAACCTTCTTATAAAGTTTTGTAAACATAAAATGGAAGAAGCGTTTTTTCTGATGTTATGGGAAGAGAAGGACCGACATTTAATATCCCGGCCCCATTTAGCATTAACGAATACATCTTCAGGTTATGAACAGAAGATGTGACACAGACGCTCTTTTCTAAGGTGAGCAATAATCCCAATACAATCAAGAAAGACATCAAACAGAACAACAGAAATACAAATTTATTTTCATTTTTTTCCAGAACAGAAGAAATGGAGAAGACTTGAGTGAAGACATTATAACCTGTCAAGATTAGTTTAGCTCCCGATCTTTAGAGAAAGAAACCCTCCCATATTTGGTCCCACATTCACTTGCTTTAACCCAGAGATCCCTCCCCTCATTCCACCACCAATCTGTCCAAGCTCTGAGTTTATTCTTGGCTGCTCCTCTTCTGTGGATGGTCCACAAAAGGAGCCCTGGAAGGTCAAAGGAGAGCTCTTGCAATGGATTCTGCATCTCCAGAGAATTGGGTGCTGGCAATGGCACACGTAATAGTAGGGATCAGGCCTAATCATGCATTGGAAGGGCACCACCAAGTGTTACATCCTTTAGTCCTTTCAGAAATAATTACACTTTACCCCCTGTTCACTGTTTGAAAACTGGAAAATAAACGTACATTTAAAAGGCAACCCAAATTCTGCAGTGCTCAAAAGTGCTTTTTTTTTTTCCTAAATAGAGGAGTGAGGGGAAAAAGAAAGTCCAATCTGATCTTATTTGTTGGCTTTGTATTAAATTGAATGCAACTTTGGATAAGAGAGATGTAGGTTAACATTTATGAATAGGAATACTACGAATGCCAGGAGGAATTAGTGACGGAAGTCCTCTGCTCTCCCAGAGCATCATGGAAGAAAGCAATCATAGTAACTGGGTTAATGGAAGAATGTTAGGCTGACTTTCAGGAGACGGTCCCTAGAAAGTAATTTCTTCATGGGAACTGCTGAAAATAGTACTCAGTCACCTACCGCTAGAGACAAGACAAAGGAAGATTATGTTCCTCCCTCCTTTAGGAGTTCAAGGAAACCTTTATTCACAAAGTTAAGCAAACCTTTGTAACATTACATTTCCCAAGCCAACTTCTGGTTCCTAATCCTAGTAACTTCAAGAAGCATCTAGAAAGGGAATGTAGACCAGTTGCAAACACATGATACTGAAACTCTATTAGATCGGTAGGAAACAAGTAGCAGGAAAACATATGGCTCTTATGGAAGGACATTGCTCAGGTTTCCCTGGAGAAAAACCATGGTTTAAAATGTGAAATATAGATAGGGCTGGCCAGGTGCAGGAGTGGAATAATGGGAATTGAAGCCTAACACATCCAAAAGGCATCAGTTCCAAGAGGCTGGCATAACATCTCTCGTTAGAGCTCCCATTCAACACAGCCTCCTGCAGAGTGTCTGCAAATCCAGACAACCCTCCCGACCCAATTTGCCTCCTTCCATAGCTACCACCATCACAGACCTTCTTTAAATATTTCTTCCATGGAACCCTACCCAATATTCAACATGCTGCCCCAATCTACTAACACCCTCCCCCACTTTATAATGCAACCTTACATGCTACGGCATTCTTCCCGGCTTACACTATTTTCGACATACGTAGCCTTCTTAACAATACACAGTGTTATAATGAAGAACTGGCAAGCGACAGAACCATTCTTGGCACCATCAACTGAAAACTAAAACCCAAGGTGTAGTTTCTACTGCTAAAGCAACAACTTTAACATAAGAGCGCCCAAAGTCGTGCAACTTTCTAAGAGAGTCCTCAAAAAGCGCACCTTCTTTTTGAACAGATATGCCCTTCAATCCATGCTCTGCAAAGTTAAATGCTATATACAGAGAACCTGCTCCAAACCCTCCACATTAAATTCCATGCTATGCAAACCTTCCAACATACTTGACTGAAAACCAGGTTGTATAACTGATGTTTGCTTTACAACAAATCATAGTCCACAATCTCCAACTAACCCATATTTAATTCAAGGTTTGTCAGCCTTTAATTCAGGGTTGTAAATACACACTCCCTGATGCCTAAATATTCCAACAGCCATCGTTGCCTCCTTTTTCTCCAGAAAATTTGTCATACATGCCCTCCCACTGAACAGAAGCAATATATGCACACCTTCAGAGGACCTTGTTGAGCGGTGGGATGCCAACCGCTTTAGCAGATCTCCAGAAACAAGTAAGGGATGAAATCTGACAAATGAGTCAGAAAGATGGCAATCGGTTTCACTTTCAACCGAAAAGTGGTACACAACCATTATCTGCAATGCTGCTCCTGACTGGTACAAATGTGTCAATACTGTGACAAGATGCACACTGAATCTCAGGCTGATGTGGGTGCACGCTTTCCACACTCACCAAAACTGGCACAGGATGCAACCACAGGAAGCAGACTTGCCTGGACCATAATCTCTACCTGCCTGAACTTTTGTTTTGCATACAAACACTTTTGCCTATTTCGTTCTCTTCTTTACCTCGATGAATGTAGAAACTCTCACAAAAACCACCCATCCGTGCCTTTCTCTTAGTGGGAGAAACTGGAGATAACATTTCCATCTCGCGATCTCACACATCGACGTGTATTTATTACAAGTCAGTGGAAACTTAAAATGTCTTGAATTATTCCAAGAAGGACCATGTTGTCTTACATTTACACGCCAGCAGCGATAAGCGTGCAACATTTATCCAGTGTGTGCATATGTTTTCTTGGGCACATCTTCTCAGTCCTTCTGACCAACTGCAATTTTGCAGGACAGAAATAAAATATGCAAGGGGTTCCATAAGCACAAGACTGTGGATAGCATTCCCGTCAATTATGATTTAACTGTATGATTTACTCCATACTGAGTGAAGGTGCAGGAGAACAGCTCACCCCATGCACTTTGCATGGCCTCAGCTGATCCACGGCCATGGGTTCCATGTCACAATGTGCAAATAAATCAGTGGATGAAAAAAAGGCCAGCCACCCAACACTCCCTGCTCCAAAGTCATTCCGAGGGAGAGCAATCCAGTGCCAAAAGGAAGCAGGCAAAGCTAGCCTTTTTGAAAACCCTGCTAGAGCAAAAAGGAGCAGGCAGAGAGTTTCCTTTCAGTACGTTAAAAACAGAAACCAAACCTAACAGCAGCATCAGCATTTGAAACAGATCAAAAGAGGCAAGCCAAAATGAACACACAACCAGGAATTAGAATTTAATGCATGATGGAGTCCATGACAGCACTTAAATACAATATAGATAACATTGTATTTATATATGTGTGTGCGTGCGCACACACGTGCGTGCACTTGTGTAGACACACACCCCCAAATAAAACTATAAGGCTTTTTGTTATAAAGCTTATCACTCATAAGGCTGCTGCTGCTGCTGCTAAAACGATGTGTTTCCAAAATCTGTTCTCTCTCTTCTATTTCTGTGAGATTTCTTCCGATCTGTTCCGTCACTTTCCACTGAGCGTGTTAGATATGGAAATACCCAGTCACTTGCAAGTTCATTTCACAATACACTAAACTCTAAACATAATTTTCTTCTCTTGTTCTTAAATCGTGTTTTTTATATCTATCTGTCAATCAGTTCTTATGAAACTAACTCCAGTCTCTGCTACCTTAAACCACTATTTGACCACAGGCTGGGCCAAATCCTCTGTAGGTCACTTCAGCTCCAGACTGACCTCACAAAAGGCAACAATTCAGACTGTAGAGGAGAAAACACCACTGGCGTTTCTTTGTGTTTTGTTGAGAAAGATTTGTCCCCTCACCTTCAATGTACCCTTCCAGAGTTCCCTGGAACCCGGGCCTCTCTTGGCACCAGGTTTTGACTTCTTCTGAACTCTGGCTGCTCCTGGATCACTCTTCTGGCAAGCACTCTGGAGTTACTAAGCAGTCGTCTCCAGGGAGTCAAAGCTTGCACAGATTCTGATTAACTCTCCATTGAGGATGCGGGTGAAGCCCACCACATGAGGGAAAGACAGAAGTGAGGAGAAAAGAGAATAGCAGTTGCCAAAGAACTGGTTAGACAAAGCCTCTTGCCTTCAGGAGGTGTTAGATTAGGGAAGTTGGACCTGGAAGAGAAAACAAAATAGAGTCATATCCAGTGGTGTTCTTGGTGATGCCTGTTGGCTTAACTTTAAGAATATAGCTTGGGAGGCAGCAATGCTGCACTTAAATGAATTGACTGTGACTCTTCAAGCAGCCACATCTTTTTTTTTTTCAACTCACACAGAAGCTTGAAAAAGGACAGGCTGGTTTAATGAAGAGCAGAGGTGCTATGTTTGGGTGAGATCCAAAGCGTTTGTTGTAATCATTTTTGAAGTCTGTACAGACATGAGTTAATTTGATGAGGGTCAGGTCATTTCTCAGGACTTTCTGGAATGTCTACAGCAAGATGGCATGAAACGTGATTAGAGACTTTCACATCTTATGTAAACTGACATATCTACACCTTAAGCTTGCTCTTAGAAAGGATAAAGCAGCTTCATAATCCAAACAGGAGGGAGGACAGATACATCTTGGTTTATGACATCCCTGTTGAGCAAAAGGAGGCTTAATGTTAACAGGCTGACAAAGCAATTAGCAGAAGGTTAGAGACTGGGAATGGCAGGCAGAAGCCAATGAGACAGAGGCAAATATTAGTATGGTGGCTAATACCAGCAGCTGCCAATTCTAAGTCTCTAGGAGAACTTGAAAGACTTCTTCAACAAGGCCAAGGGTTTAGATCTTTGTCCTGTTAGGAAAAAAGGGGATTGTAACTTAGGGCACATCTAAATGATAAATGGAGTTTTGTTTAAGTGCTTTGGCTTCCTGCAGGGAACTAAATACCCCATATTCTCAGCTATTTTGCAGATCTTCTGCACCCAGCATGTTTGGGGCAAAGCCATAAATTATTCTTCACTAGCTAATACTTAACAGGACAATCAACAATAAAATGTTAACATGTGAGGTACAGTACAGAGTCTAGCCAATGGCTTAGCTCTTCGTTCCAGATACTTTATTCCATTATCCTTCTCTTGGTGGATTTTCACCCCACTACCTGCCAACAAACAGCATATCAAAGATCAAGCTTTCTCCAATCCAATACCTTCCAAGAAAGTGGCACTGAAACTCTTAAGATTTCCAGCCAAAAGTCTAATCTTTCTTAAGACAGCTGACTGGGGAAAGCAGCCACACAAAATATGTGTGGGAGAGTTGTTTTATGCCTTTCCTCATGACTTGCCAGCCCTGTCTATTTTTTGATGTGTACTTGCTGCTGGGAAACAGACTTCCGATGGATGTCAACTGAGATAATATGGGTCATCAGAAAGTTCCTCCACTTTAACACACTAGATTGAGACTATTCATTGCACTCTACCTCCAGAATTGGGAAAAGCATTCCTCAACTTCTCCATGATATCTTCTAGACACAGGCTGACATCCTGGGAATTTACCTCTACTTCATCTGTGAGAAAGGAGAAGAAAAATGGTTATGCTAGCACTGCCGAAGAGACCCGGGACCTGAAAACTTCCAAGGATACTCTACCTGCTGAAGACTCTTGGGGCAATATAAGGAAGCCTGGTCCACTTTGCATGGTGAAGACCTGTCTCCTGCCTCTATTAGCACTGTTGATGGTGTTGTTTTTCTCAGCTGCTATGTATTTTAATTTTTGCATTGACTTTTTGTAATTTATGATGCATTTTTTTTACTTGCTATTGTTCACTGCCTAGAGTCACTTGTTGAGATGGGTGGCTTTATACACTAATTAAATAAATGAATAAATAAACAGATGATGTAGCAACGACAAAGGCCTCTTTCCAAGAAGAACCACAACTACATCCCAACTGCAGCTAGCATTGGTAACGGCAACCTTCTTACAGAAAAAATATGTAACCTTCAGCCTATTTCTTCCATTCTTGAAATTAATTGTTAATGGAAACTTGCTTTTCAGGAAAGAAAGAAAAAAAATGAGGTTCAAGGGACAAAGGAAATCTTTTCAATATCAATGAAGAATTGGCAACAATATCATCATTTCTGTATGTTATAACATTTGGTTTAAATAGATATTGAGGAAGTGTGAGAACTGAAAAGGGAAAACAGAGGAGAAGCAGTGGACTTGATCCGCCTTTGTTCTTAGAAACATTCTCTCCCTATTTTAAGAAAGAAACTGGGACATTTGTGAAAGTTGTCTGCTGTAGCAAGAAGTCTCTATCTGTCATGGCACAAGATGTTTTGCCAAGTACCATACACAAATACATAATCTTTATTATAGTCCTAAACCAGTGTAAAAATAAATTAAAACAACACAATCCAACCCAAAAATATCACAACTTTTTAACAGTTTAATACAAGTCTGTCAATGCTTCTAGGGGCAAATCAGGATATGATGTAGCCTTGTAGTTACATTATTGGCCATTAAAAAAGGTGATTTCAGGACATCTGTCATTTAAGAAAACTTCCCAGAAACATTGATCAAGATGACTGGACAGTTTTTCCATTGGGGTGAATTAATTGAGAATGCAGTTCCACACAGCACTTACACCTTGGAACAATATGTTCTAGGGCAGTGTTTCTCAGCCTTGGCAACTTTAAGATGAGTGGACTTCAACTCCTAAAATTCCCCATGCAAGGGACTTCAGTTGCTTTAAGATGTGTGGACTGCTGGCTGTGGAATTCTGGGAGCTGAAGTCCACTCATCTTAACGTTGCTAAGGTTGAGAAACATGTTCTAGGGTTTCACATTCACCAGAGGCAGAAGGGCATTGCCCAAGCAGTGTGGAGATTCCATTATATCTGCTGACCATGACTGCAGAGGGGAGAGCACTGAAACCTGTGCTAGAAGAAGCCCATCGATAGTGGGTCACCAAGTACCAAACGAGGAATCCCTGGGAGAAAGCATGGCATCCCAGATGAAGGAGATGAAGGGGAGGTCTTACAGCACCACAGAACTTACCTGCCATTTCTGTGTTTGGAGTACTAGCATCTTTTTCCTTAGGCTGACTCTCTTCTGACGGTTGGGGAGAGGAAGCCACAGTTGAAGTGGCAGAGCCTTCTTCTTTGGAATTTGCTGGTGGCTGGGAAGAAGACCGAGAACATTAGCAAAGGTCTGCAATGGCTTTTGACATTAAGCCAGTGTTGTCCAAACTTGGCCACTTTAAGATGAGTGGACTTCAACTCCCAGAATTCCCCAGCCAGTCATGCTGGTTCATCTTAAAGTGCCCAAGTTTGGACAACACTGCATTAAGCCAAGAGCTCTCTGTGAGCCTAGGGTCACAAGTTGCCCACTTGCATCTGAAATGATGGAAAACTGGGTTCACAAATCTCAGCCCAAGAAGCATTCTAGAGAAGAGAAACAGCAGGCAGGGAGACAGGGCTAACGTACCAAGACTTATCAATACAGGAGGATGGAGAAATGAAGATGAAGTCCAGAGAACAACTGACTGCAGAAGGACATCGTTTTCAATGGTTTTCATACGCACAGTTAAAAGAAAGGGTTTTTTTTCTTTTTGATTTGTCTTTTACTCTATGAAAGAATCTTAATAAATTAAAAAGAAGAAAATTGTGTTCACAAGATGTACTGAGAACTGCTAATTTGGAATGGCTTTAAAGAAGGAGTAGACTAATTCTTGGAGAATCCAACTACTGGTAGGAGACTACATATAATTTTGTGCGCAAAAGGATTTCTGCCTCTTAGTATCAATGATGGAGGACTGTAAGAAGGAAAGATCTTTTCTACTCTTTTCTTGCTTGTGGACTAAATATCTGAGTTGCCACTAGAGGAACAGCATCCTGGACCAATTTGGTGAGGTTTGCTCAGCACAGATACTGTTCAAGTGCATGGCCTTCAATGCTAGAACACTCAGCCATGGCATTCAGAGAACTGGGTGGGGAAGGCTGAATTAGGTCTTGATCTGATCTAGGTTCTGAATTAATGCATGAAAACTGCAGGAATGCATATTTCATGTAAACAATAGTCCAACAGCAATAAGATGGTGGATCAGGCTGACTCAGAGGTTGCGGGTTCTCCTTCCCTGGAAATACATAAGCAACACCTGGGAAGCTGTTGGTCAATGACAATCAAGCTGTAGTCTACAGATGAAGATCTTCATATGGATCCACCATTGATCTAAATGAGTCTCAAGGTAACTCACAAGAGGGCATTTTGTTATTTTCCACTTCCTCCTGCCCACAGACCCATTCCTTTCTACAGCATAAATACTGGTACGCAGTTACCTGAAGAAGTAATTCTCTTAGGCGGTGCAGCTGAGATTCCAGTTGCTTGTTGTGGTCCTCCAGGATTTGCATCCGGGTCTCCAAGCGGGTCTTGTGCTGTCGAAGAATCCGGGCTTCTGCCAATAGCTCTTCGCTGTGTGGATCCTGCGCTGTTTCTGGAGCTCCTTCTGCTGATTCGGCTGCCTCTTCATGCTTCCACTTCAGACGTCTCAGCTCCCCCTGAAGGATCCTGTGGAAAGGAACCTGTTAGAGCTACTGGATCTGGATTGCTAGAGGACACCAAAGAATTCAGGTTTTCTCTATCTCTATGCTGCCATCTAGTGGCTGCCTGAGGTTTTGCAGTCTGGATCTGGTAACCCTAGACCCAGATGAGGGATTAGCAACAACTCACCAGATATGGGGCTGAACATGACCCTTCCCAATCTGGTCACCACGGATGAATTTGAAGTCAAAGTAAATTTCTGCCTGCAATATTCACTGGGGATGATGGGAGTTATTTTTGGCTTACAACTTCCTGCATATTTGGTTACACAGCTCACATAGGTTTTGCCATGTTGTGCTTCAGAGACTACATTATGGGATGGGTGGACTACCAGATCCAGTCTTCAAAAATCCAGATAACCAGAAGATAGCAGCAAAAATACAGAAAACCAATTCTTAGCTGCTATCTAGCGGTTGTCTGGATTTTTAAAGACCAGATCTGATAGACCTAAAGAAGGACTTCAGGAGCTCAGCAGAAGAGCAGATACTTCACATGGAGGAACCATCATTCAGTCATTGACATCAGCTTACCTGTTTTCATCCTCCAGGTGGGCCAAAATTCTTTCCAATTCTCCTTTATCATCTGTCCTGGTGCCATTCTGGGCCTGTTGGCTGGAGATAGGTTCTCGGTCTGTGACAGGGCTGGAATGGCGCAAAAGATACTGATCTTCATCCCTGTTGTGAATAGAGCTATGATGAGGTTGAGGTAGTGGAGAGAAGTGCAACAGAGTTGTGAGAAAGAAGGTGAATTAATGAAGAAATCCCTCATGGAAAAGGGATGGAGGAGCTAAAGGACCAGAGCTTTCAGAAGACAAGACTGGAGGGAACTTCTGGATTCTCAGGCATCTGCCAGGGTCTCTCAACCTTGGCAGGCCCATATCTGCCCCAGGCTTCCCTTTAAAAGGGTTTCTGGCTGATCAGCAGTGCCAGAAAGAAGTAGTCACCAGGATACATTGCCTGGGGACAATTTTGGGAAATGGAAAGGGCAGTCTGATATTGTCCAGGCCCACCAGAGGATGCTCAGCCCAGAGTTCTCTCAAGCTCAGAACAGACCCTGTGAAGAGTGATGGTTTATTCTAGACCCCACATTAGGCCTACCAAGCCAATCTAACCAGGTGATTTTTTTTTCACACTATGTTCCTTTGCCTGGTGTCTTCTGGCCTCCCCATTTTCTATCACTGCGGGATGAGTTGGCTTGGTGGGCTAGATTAGGTCTGTGGGCTGGAGGCAACAATGAGAAGGATCCAGGTTGCCAAAGAATTTGTACGCAAAATAAGAAAAGAAAGGAAAGAAAGTGAGAAGTTGCAACTCACAAGCTATCATCTGGAGAAAGGTTGTCATTGTAAAAAGAAGAAGTCTGACTTTCCATCTCTGCAAGCCTGCAAGAGAATACAGCAGAGCCAATGGACAAGCCACCAAGGAGATGGCCAAATTGGGAAAGAAATGGCAAATCTTTTGGGCACAGCCTCTTCCAACCTGTCCAAATTTTCCCTCACTTGATTCAACCAGAAGATCCATCTTGGCCACTTTTCTGCTTCCATAGCAGCCATCTAGAAGGCCCTGGTTTGTCCCCACCTCTAGTATTCAGGAATACACCACATTTTTACAAACCGAAGCCAGCACCTCAGCAAAAATCTTTCAGGATTTTTACTTTTACACCCAGCATTTCTTTCCTCTTAAGAGTACTGTGGTGCTGCTAGTGGTGGTGATCATAGGAGTCTAATTTATATCATGCTTTCCTTCTAGCTCAGTATTGTTTCTTGTTTCCTCCACAGCAACTTTCCAAGGTTTCAGGCATGAGTCCTTTCTAGAAAGCGACCTGGAGAGGCCACAGGTCTGAACCTAGGATCTTTGGCCTGTAGAACATGAATTACATCACAGACCTTCCAAAGAAAGGACTTTTGTTTAAAGAAACAAAACAAACAGGAATCTTCTGCTGAGTCAGATAATTAGTTCATCTTGTCTTTCCAAGAGATTGGAAAGCTGGGATAATTGCCCACCACTTTACTATACTAGAGTAGACCAGCTGAACTTGTCTCTTCTTCCTCTATCTTTTGAACTGGTTGTACCATATCCTTCCACCTACTGTTTGACCTTGGGACTGGCCCTGTCATTCAGCTGAGCGAGGCAATGGCCTCAGATATAGATGATGTGAAACAAGATAATTGGTGGTTTCAATTTATTATTATTATATTTAGAGTTAGGAAGGGAGGCAGGGGTATCGTGGAACAAAAGCCTTAGAGGGAAAAATATGACCAGTCTTGGGTAGAACATGCTTTCATTTGGGTGGCAGGAGAGATATCTATTGTTTTGCCTTGGACAGCAAAGTGACTTAGACTTTCCTTGCCCAGTACCTGTTATCTCCTTGAGAGCTTCCAAATCTCACCTGCTAGCAAAATGCTCAATCCGAGAATGGGTGTCAGCATGTGGTAACATCGGAGAAGAGGCTGGCCTGGAAAGATACAAAAAAAAAAGTCTAAAATTTTAAATAGCTGACTGGTAGGAGATCAATGAGAACATCTACATCAGTGGGAACCTTCAGCGGAACAAGGAAAACAAACACATCTCTTCCCCGAGCCTTCTCCAATCCAGTACATCTCAGATGGGTTGAATGATCTCATCTACCATCCCAAGCAAGCCTGGCCATGGAACTGGGATGACAGAAGCTTTAGAACTACAGTCTGTTGGGCAATGGGTTGGAGAAATTTGTTGTATTATGCCATGCAACACTGGCTTACAACTTGACAGCGCTGGTACATGGAAGTCTTGTCCCAGCTCAGAATCTCTCTCCCATCTATGCCGTTTACTCTTAGTTTGTGGATCTCCAGGAGCACAAGTAATAACCTTTCTCATCATCTCTTCGTTTTTGGCAATGTCAGGAATGGAATTTGGGATCTTCTGTATCCCAAATCTATGTTCCACCATCTGTTAGTGCAATGGGATCACCTTCCATTTGCTCAAACCAGAGAAAGTGAAACCAAGGTTTGTTTGTATTTATTTTTAAATGTTAAACCTTCAAACCATAATGTTTGAAGGTTTAGCATTTTCATCCCTGACTGGAAGATAATGAGCCTGGCACTAGCTGTGGCCCACCTCTTGGAACCCAGATGCCACCGATGAGAAGACCTCTACTTCCAACAGCACTTTGCTTGGCTGAAATTCCACTCAGCTCTGAGAAGGTGCAACTTTTTCTCAGCCATGTGATCTTACTTGGTCCTTGAAAGGTATTGAGAGCCCCCCTGACAAACATAATGGGTGGGGACAAGGCAAAGGCTAAACTTCATTTATAGATAAGTTTCCTGAATGGGAAATATGGTTAATGCAGTTCCTCTTCAGTCACATATTTAATAATTTGCCACTTCTGACTTATTAACATGGTAATTTGGAAAGAAATTGGGGAGGTCTTTGAGAAGCTGTGCCCATGTTCCTTTATATCTATATCTATATCTATGTCTATAAATTTTATTAAAGCATTTTTTTTACAAAGTTAAAAGATAAACATGAAACAATACAGAAAAAGAAGGAAGAAAGAAAGATAAAGAAAAAGGTGTTGAAAACAATAAAAAGCAAAGAGAAAGAAAAAGAAAACAGAAGAAGCAACTTCCGATCTTCTTTACAGCAGTTATAAACATACTTAAAACCATTTTCCCTCTTCAAATTATGTAACATGGTTCCCTTCCCCCAATATTCAACAGGTAGTCCCCAGTTTAAGAACGAGTTCCATTCCCAAAGTCAAATTTGTACATAAGCCGGAACAGTATCATTGTATTGTATGTATAAGTAATATTGTGTAATTAACTTGAACCATTGTGTATTTAACCCGAATTTTGCTACAATAGGCTCCATTCTTAACTAAGGGCCATCCTTAAACTGGGCGTTCAACCTGGGGACTACCTGATATTGGTAAATCCAGAAATCTCCAGTCCATTTTTATCCATTTTCAGCAAAAAGTCCATGAAGGGTTTCTGGTCTTTTATTAAAAAGAAGCTGTACCCAAAGTTTCCAAACCCAGCTCTGAGCTGTGCAATGGGAGGCAAGGAGGAATTCGTAGCTGTTCCTGGACTCGCCACTTACGTTTCAACAATGTCTGCCTCCAGCACTGACTGGACTGGCAGGTATCCTCTCTGGGGATGCTTGCTGAAATACTGCTTTGAACGGAACTTGTTCTTCAAGGTGGTAGCAAAGTCCCTCATGTTCTCACTAGAAGTGGTCTGGAGAGAAAGGGATTGAGAGCCAGGTTAAATGAAAGATACCTTCAGTCTAGCACCCTGATTCCAACAGGAGCAGGAGAGATGTTTCGGAAGGTTTTAATCAGGGCAAGGAAACCAGGATGCTATTGAGCTATTCTGAATCCTGACTAAGGGTGTCATCCTTGCGTGTTAGTCCAGACAAGAAGCATGCCCAGATGAACTAATTTTACTTTACTGTAAGGTTAGATTAACAGAACCTTGCAAGTCTGAAAGTACATATCTCCCATGTCATCTTTAGAGCCCAAGAAATGTCCCTTCTGAGACATTTGCCAGGCTCCTTTTCCTTCTGCGGGCTCAGCTACCTCTTATCTGTTGTCCAGTCTTCCTCCTGTCTCCCAAGGTCATTCCCACAGACCATTACAAATAGCCCCTGAGAAATCAATTGTTTGTTGAATTCATTGGACAATTTTAAAGTGCAGAGGCTCACCACACACAAATTCCAATACTCAATTTAATGAGATCAACCTGGCTGAAATCCAGGTTGCACAATAATCTGAAGTAAACTCCACTGGATTCACCAGTCCTTATTCTCGTCTGTAAAGGATCCACTGGTCAATTGCATTGAACTTGAATGAAAGAACTTCAGCCCATAAATGTAAACGCTGGTCTTTTAAATCCATCTTATAACAAACTATTATTGTTGAAATTGCTAGCCTGAACTACAAAATAGAGTCTTCCTTTATCTGAGTGCTTGCCCCATTCTCCAGTGCAATGATGCTAAGAGCTGTAAAATGATAATAAAATTTGGAAGCCTCATTATCACTGCTGACTCACATGAGGGACATTACCCTGGAATTTTGGCCTACAAACCCCCTGTCCTAGTCTGAAAAATTCCAGGAGCTGTGCTCCTTAACGTTCCTCTCCACTACACAATTGCATTATCTAGTTTTTTGTTTTTTAAAAAAGGAGAGGATCAGTAATAAGTAGCAAATCGTTGCACGCTAAGGCCTACGCAGGACTGCACAATCTGTCCCCTAAGGACGCTAAGCAGAGCATCACTTCAGCATCGCCCCAGCATGGCACACAGTCCTTTGCAGACCACGTTCTCCTTCTCTTACCATTGTATAGTATTCCATAATGGGATAATGGAGCTTATTGCCTTTGCTGGCTCGTCCCGTCAAGAAGCAGGTCTGGCAGATGTCCACATTGAACTGCTTGAGGCTACGGTATCTGGAGCAACCGAAAAACTCCAGTGTTACCCACAAAACCAAACACTGAGGTAAACCAAATACAAGCAAAACCAAATTTGGTTGCACTGCACCGAACCAGGCTCTGCATGATGGAATGCTCTCCAACTTAAACGTTCATATCAAAAAACCCAAGCCTGTTAAGATACTACAGATTTTCCTCCTGCCATGTTACTTTCTTTGCTTTTTTCATTGGGCCCTGAAATATTCAT